CTTTGAGACCGAATTCTTGCACTTTATGATCTTCAAGTTGCTCTTTCAACTGCTTTTCAATATCCTCAATTTCATAATTCCCAGTTGGTAATGTGAGAATGGTTTCTGTATCTTTTACAAAATAGAATTTATTATGCCCCTTGTCAATGTTAGGGATCGAATTGTATATTAAAAATGATACAAGCCCTACACTATAGGTTTTCAACGGTGATAATTCAATAGGTGGAAAATAGTATGCCTCCAGCACAGAGGATGTACCTGACAATGTTAATGTGAAAGAGTCACCCATGACGGTTAGCGTTGAAATGATCTATCGCTGGGTATGATTGTAGTTTTATAACAGTTCTCCTGAGAGAAATTTCAAACATAAATGTCCGCAAATCACTGTATCATAGTCTTGATAATTTTTATAATTGTATTTTACTATACTACCAGCACCGAAATAATTTACTAAATCTTGAGGTGGACGTAAGTTGCCAAAACTATCGAAATAGTTTATATCTTTATTCTTCTTTGTATCAGCAACCCAGTGAGTANTTTTATAACAGTTCTCCTGAGAGAAATTTCAAACATAAATGTCCGCAAATCACTGTATCATAGTCTTGATAATTTTTATAATTGTATTTTACTATACTACCAGCACCGAAATAATTTACTAAATCTTGAGGTGGACGTAAGTTGCCAAAACTATCGAAATAGTTTATATCTTTATTCTTCTTTGTATAAGCAACCCAGTGAGTGCCAGGTCCCTCACTATCATCGAGATTTACAACAGCAGACTCATGCTTTCGAGGACCATTCTTCGGCATATCGTTCCTCATATACACACCTCGAAAATGTTGAATTTTCATTGCTTTAGCAAATTTCAATATATCCATATCAGTGAGCGCTCGGTGTGGTAGTTTTACAAGTTTTTTGGACTCAAATGGAGTCCTAAACGTTGCTTATAGGGCTTCAAATACAAACCCTTTCCAAGAGCAATATCTTCCATGCTACGATTATGTCGCTTGCTCTCTTGAAGGGTTTCCCCAGCAGCCTTAGCATCATTGACAGCTTTTGCAATACCTGCAGCACCTCCAGCCAAAGCGCCTGTAGCACTAAGTCCTGCAAAGAGAGGTATGAGGAAAGCAGGCAAAATTCCACCGGTTTTCATAGGAATAGGGAGAATACGAGGCAAGGGACGAATTCCCCTTTTTCCTCCAGCATGTTTTACAGCCTGACGTGCACCCTTCAACGCTGTTTTCACTGCACCTACTCCTGGGAGCATCGAGGCTTTAGAAGCATCAATAATCTGACGCAATGGGATCTTCTTCGTCTTCTTCTTCTTTCGCTTGCTACCCTTTCCAATTTTCCTCTTTTGAACCCGTCCATTCCCTTTCTTTAGCTTATGATACTTTCCAGTTCTCTTTCTATTTTTCTTTTTTGTGTCAACGTTTCTCTTCCTGCGTGCACCCATACCAAGTTTCCTCTTAACCTTCATGGTGTTTGCCACGCCCCAAGCTACTGCTTTTTCTGCAAGACCAGCGTCCTTTGCCAACACTCGACTCCAAGCTTGCTCTTCTAAAATGCTATCAGCTTTATGTCTAGCAGGCAAATTATCTTTGCTCTGAGAGTAGGCGATATCGTGCTCCTTACACGCCTCGTCAAGAGGATTTATCCCACGATCACCACGATTCAATCGTTTTGCTAATTTCGTTCCTGGTCCACAGTACTGATAACCTGGTACATGTAATTCCACTGGCAATTTATTAATCACCTTATTCAGAAACCCTTTACCACTTGACTCTTTCTTACGTTTGCACGTTGCCATGGTTTATCAACGACTGAGTGAAATCATATAAATACCGCGTATTTATAGCTGCTGAGGCAGTTGTCAAGATGAAGTTCAAGAAGCAGAATGTGAAACTCCCTGTCATCAATTTTGATCAAATAGTTCAGCAAAAGAAGGGTGGGGGAAACAATCGACATGGAATTCTTCTACCGAATAGTGTGCGTGCAGTCATATGTGGCCCCTCAAACTGTGGCAAAACAAATGTTCTGTTCGCGCTCATTACTCATCCGAATGGTTTGAGATTTGAGAATGTTTACGTCTATTCTAAGTCGCTAATCCAGCCAAAATATCAGTTTTTGAAACAGTTATTGGAATCTACCAAAGTCATTGAATATTTCCCATTCAGCGATCATGAGGAGGTGATTAAACCTGGGGATGCTCATCCCAATTCCATCATAATCTTTGATGATGTTGCTTGCGAAAAACAAGACAATATGCGAGCATTCTTTTGTATGGGGCGCCATCAACATGTAGATTGTTTCTATCTCTGTCAGACTTACGCTCGTATCCCAAAACATTTGGTGCGTGATAATACGAATTTTCTGATCCTCTTCCGTCAAGATGAAATGAACTTGAAACATATTTATGACGATCACGTGAATACTGATATGTCATATATACAATTCAAAGATTTATGCTCAACCTGCTGGAATATGGACAAATATGGATTTATAGTAATTGATAAAGATAGTGAATTGAATGGGGGACGCTATCGGAAAGGTTTCGACTGTTTCGTAACCATAAATAAGCACTGATCGACAACATTGAAGACAGTGTTGACTTGAACGTTTACTGATCAACATGCATCGCAAGGTATTGCAAAAAGAGTCGAACGTTTTACATCACATTGCTTTAGCAAGTGAGGCAATCCGTCGTAAGCATAGAACATTAAAATTGGGTAAAGATGCAGCAGAACGTACTGCGAATGAAGTATTTAAACCAGTAATTACACCACTAGAAAAATTAGTCGAAGCGCAATCAAAAAAATCAGGGAAGAAGGGGAAAACATGGCCCGAACACAAGCTGTCAATGGTTCCATGGATGAATTCGAGAGATAGTGATGAAGAGAATGATGCATTTGAAACAGCTGATGAGGACAATAAAGAACTTCAATCAATGATTTTTTCAAGTACTCCAAGGCGTTCAGAATTATCATCGCAAGCTCCAACGAGTGGAAGCGATAGTTCAGTACTTGGAAATGAGACATCAAAAGTAATTCAGTCGCTTGAAACCATTCATGAATCATCACATGAAGACGACAATACATCTCACATAGAAAATCTTGTACAGTCTTTCCTCAGTAGATTTGANTGCACAGTCTTTCCTCAGTAGATTTGGAACAGCAAAAGAAAAAGAGCTAGACACTGAATTTGGGGTGAGGAATTTGAAAGGAGGTATGAAAATTGGAAATTCATTCGTTAATTTCAAAGATAATACAATGATATTGCAAGACGAACAATATCAATTAACCCCTGGACTTATGTCATTGATATTTATGAAGTCTCCGCAAACTGAGCATATAACTGAAATTGATAAGAAAACTTATGCTGAAATTATACAACGCACAAGTGCTTATCGATCTCGCTATGAATCTGACAAACCTATCAAGCAAAGCAGTACTCTTCCAAAATTCAAGAATATTATAGCACCATTGCTCCAATCATTGACTGAGAAGNCTGAAATTATACAACGCACAAGTGCTCATCGATCTCGCTATGAATCTGACAAACCTATCAAGCAAAGGAGTACTCTTCCAAAATTCAAGAATATTATAGCACCATTGCTCCAATCATTGCCTGAGAAAACTGGAACAGCTCTGCTCTCTGAATATATGATTGCACCGAGAACTACGGATAAAAAATTTGATTATATTTACTGGGATGATCCCAATGAATTAGTCGATAGACTTCGTTTACTCATGGCATCCCAGGCGGCTGGTAATACTAGTCACACTAATGAAATTTTCTCTATCATCGAAGAATTACGTGAGGCTGAAATTATATATTAGACTCTGTCTATGCAAGATTTCCTCAGTTCAATCATGAGCGTTGATGTGTTTGGACGACAGTGGGCCTACGGTCGCACTAAAAGTTGTACGGGGCGACGAGGTCCTGCAGGTGATGGATTCAAACGTACTCATAATGGAAACTATGACATGGATAACAAAAAACTATGTAATTTAGCTGATGCTAAGCATGAGTTCGATGCTGTTTCCATGAAAATTTTGAAGATATTTATTGAGCAAAATATTCAGCCTATTCGACTAGAAATCATATCATTGAAAACTAATTTAGATACAGCTCTTCAAGCTCTCCAATCTCAACTGTCTGACCTCATTTCCCAAGCAGAGACAGAAAAGTTGAGAAGAAAGCAGAAAAAGAAAATGGCTGCATCAAAGCAGCAAGAGCAGTCAGATAGATTTAAAGGAGATGACAATAATGTTTGAGCTCATTTGTCAAGAGGCAAAGAAACTGTGAGGAAGCAGAGGCAGGAGATAGTTGCA